AACCAAAAACAAACAAAAGTTAGTCCTCATTTTTAATATTCTATTGTACAAATGTGTGGTGATTAGTGACCGTTAATCGATAATTATTCAGAAATTGTGAGATGCGGTCTGGTGTGAGGTAGGTTTCTGAAACCTGAAGTTCGCAATATTTTCTGAAACCTGCAATATTGTAATCTCTTCAACCATGGAAAGACATCATCATGAACCACAAGTTCGCAATATTGTTGTGAGAATGAGTCATCGAGGTCACCGTCAAGTGGATATCCCAGAAGCAGTTGGCGTTCTTCACAGCGTGGACTCCCTGGCTTTTGCCCAATGCCGAGAGACAGGAAGTGTCAATAGGAGGCCTGGAAGTGGATCTCAGCGCATTACGACGTTTAGGGAGGATAGAAATATTGTCATTGCTGCAAGACGGAACCTTGTCCATAGTGCCCGCCAGATCCTAAATTGAAGTAAAAAATGTTATGGCAAGGCCTTTATGAACACAAACGATTACGAATCGCATATCGTATGCCCCTTTGAGTCGACCTCAGCAACAGCACGCCACCAGCATCCCAAGAGAATGTGGTGCAGCGTGCCTAAAAGAGATCACCAATGTTTACTGATGAATCCCGTTTCTGTTTGTATAGTGATAGTAGGCGCCGAAGAGTCTACCGAGAACAGGGGATGCTTACAATGCCCCAGTTGATGCTCTCTTCAGTCCAGTTTTGAGAAGGCAGTGTAATGTTCTGGGCCGGGATTTATACTGGAAGACGAACTGGACGCCATATTGTTGAAAGCAACCTCACCGCAATCCGTTACATTCAAGTAATTATCGAAGAATACATCCCTCAATCCAGGGATCTCAGGTTTTTTTCGATTTCTGGATGGCAATGTCAGATATTAAGAAACCCTGGCAATTTCCCATCTCCTCCTTCCTCCATTGCCTCCATACCTCAGTCCCATTGAGCATACGGATGCGTTACAGACAAGGCTATTCGATCACCATCCGCAGTCAGTTGACCTGCTGCAACAACTGAGTGGTACATTGCAACATCTATGGAGTGAAATTCCTCATGGTATTAGTGACAACCTTATTAACAGTAAGTCTAACAGGTGCACAAAAGTTTTAGCAGAGGACACACGGTATTAAGTGTCTAAAAAAATTATTGTATCCAATAAACAAAATTAAGGAATTAAAACCTTTTATTTCGTTATTTTTCGAAATCCCTTATTTAAATTTTCCTTCAGTGAAAAATATAATAATTTCTAATAAATGTTAATTCAATTTATAATAAAAATAAAAAAAAACGCTAGGGAGAGTAAATACTACAAAATTGGCAATATTCCTATTCATTTTTGAGCAGTTTATTTACACTCGTGTCTTTTAACCGTTCTCGCTATACTTCCTGCGTGTACAATTCAAAATAGAGGTATATTAGAGGAAAAACGTAATCGAAGTAATCGTTAATAAAGATCTTTATAAGGATCGAAGGAGGGTTCGCAACAGCAGATGTTATATCAACCCTCGAGGTGCCGGTGTTTTTGAAAAAAAAGCCCATTTGTAAGTATGCAGGGCATGATTCGAACCCGGGACCGTTGTGGCCACCGACGGCTATTTAACTATGTTAAACCTGCTTGACCTATCAGTCATGTGGGATCTGTTCAAACGCCTTGCATAGAAGAAATTTAAACTCTCGGATTTTGTTCTTTCGAGAAGAGTCAAAGCTCCAACAAGATCATGCTTTTATACAATCATAACCACGTAATATGAGTGTTCCAATTTTAATTTACTCAAATTCCGAAAAAAGTGGTTTCACCATTCTGCGAAACGGAACAGGAAGTTTGACGTTAATTCCTGCCGTATAACAGGATTTTGTTTATTTGTACTTTTCATATTCATCATTCCGATGACCAAATATAAAAAAATGTTAATTACAAGTTGAATGATAGACCTAAATGATGAGTGAAACTCCAATTTTGGTAAAGAACAAATTTCCATGATTGACACAGTCAAATAAACGACTTTAATGATGTTAATGATAATTGATAAGAGAAGATGATGGGTGGGAAATGCACAAGTGTATCAACGCTTGGTTTCTGTAATTTCAGCTTATCAGATCACTATGAACTAGGTTCATCATTTGATAAAGTCTACCACTATCTAATTTTCCCTGTGAATACAAAATGATTCTATGCTTTTCGGTTTATTTTCTCTTTCTGTCCCTTTTCAGACATTTGATTTTTCTTTGTAAGTATAAAGCGTGTAAAGTCAAAAGCAAATGTAAAACATTGAAAAAAATGTTTGGTTATTTATGTGACGGCCGTTTTTAATTTTTTATCTGGGACTTAACAAGCCGGTATAAAACCGTCTGAAAGGGCCTTAAACTTCCCAATTATGTACTCCGGGCTTGTCAATTAAGCATCAGCCTCGCAAGAAAAGATCTCGTTTAAAACTTCTTTTTTTCCCCTCCACGCCATTCTTAATAATTAACCAGAAAGATTGGCTTTTTCAGCTCTTGTCAGAGAAAAAGAAACGGAGGGGAAAAAACAAAATGAACGTGAAAAATTACTAATGAAAACAATTGGACAGGTAACGACGTCACAAAGTTGGAAACCCAAGCACGTAGACGACTGCGGTTCAAAATGCTTTTCACATCCTCACCACCCAGCTTCAATTTTTTTCCCTTCAAGCCCGCATTTAAATAAACATATATTTTCCCCTTTTTTCAATCTTTCTGTGATTCATTTGTCTTTTGAAGTATGTCTTGCAATACTGTTGACCATGAATATTGACGTAAACCGTTATTGACATTATTAGCTATCTAAATCTAAATTTTGATCTCGTAACGTTATTAATAATATAATTAATATCTTGAATATGTACGGTTGTTGATGAATATAGCAATTAGTGATAATTTCGATAATGGCATTCGTAAAGACGAATCATTCCTACATTAATTGAATGTTTACCTTTATTTTCTTGTCGATCTGGACTTTATTTATTGATATACCCACTACCTTAACCATTTTAAGACGTTGATCCAAAATCACATTTTCTCTTTTTCATTTATCTATTTCTTTTACAGCTGCATACAAAATACAACAAGCAATTATGGTATTTACAATTATATACATATGCACATACACATTTATATGTCTGGCGTGATTGGTTTGAACAGCTACCATCCAGTTATAGTGGCCGTAATTGGCCATTGTGGCGTGAAGTCAACAGCAGTCCGTAGAGTTGCTGAAGTTACAAAATCAGACGGTCGCGAGGCCACCTGCGCTTCAGTCTTCTAAGAGGGTTGGAAGGAAGGGTTGAGCTGGACAGTTGCGAACTAACGGAGTATCATGAGAGGATAGTTTTGAGCGAAATTTTTTGTAGCGAGACTGGGCTAGGTTTGGGACGTAGGGTATTTTGAGATAGGAGTGGATTGTATGATTGATGACGTAGAATAGAACTATCGAGCGAAGAATTCTGGATTGTAGGGATTGAATTTTGATAAGATTGAGCCGTTTAGCTGTCCCGTATAGTTCAAGTCCTTAGGTCTAATTTGAGGTGATTAGGGTAGTGTATAATAGTTTTTTTGTTAAGTAATGTCAGTTTAGATCTTTTGTCAAATAGCCTCTTCAGCATTTTAAATCTAAGGTTACAGCCAATTCGTTTTAGTCGGATGTGTGGATTCCACGTAAGTCTTTTGTCCATGTAATAAAGTTCAACGTAACATATACTATTCGCTGGAGGAATCGGAGTGTCGTACAAATAAACGGTGGGAGTTTTATGATTAAGGTGAAAACTATATATTTAGATTTTCGATTTCTTACTTTGATTCTACACTGTCGAAGCCAGGGTTCAATCATATGAAGATGGATCCGAGGTTGCTGATAGAAGTAGCAGGATCGATGTTTGGGAAGAATTGCCGTGTCATCGGCGTATGTGAAGGTTAAGTTGTTGGAATGTAATGGGAAACCAGCTGTAAAGGAGTAAAGTAAGGGATCAAGTGTGCTTCCTGGGGATGCCGGCTAAAATTGGAAAAATAGAAGAGGAACAGGTACCTTGGGTTACTTGGAAGTTTGTTAGGACGGATTTGAGGATAAGGTAATATGTAAATGTAAGGATGCTCTTTAGGTTCCACGACAAGCCCTCGTGCCACACGATCAAAGTCCTGCGCTATGTCAAGGAAAGCACCAGAGCAGTATTGTTTAACCTTGAGGGAGGTGGCGATGGTGTCGAGTGTGAATAGTCGAGTGGTAGCCGCGGAATCCGAATTGGTGGTTGGAGATAATATTTAAGGTATCGATGATGTTGTTTAGGCGATGAAGAAGAAGTTTTTCGAGTACTTTGACAAGGATAGTAGAAGGCTGATAGGACGAGGTGAGGTAAGTAGGTTTTTTAGGTTTAGGTACCTAAACCTAAGGTGGAGAATTTCCAAAGGAAAGCAAAGTACTTGTAGAGGGTTTTAATAAATACTATTGCTTTCTTGGAAGTTGATGAAGGATATTAGAGTTCACGAGATCATAACCAAGACTTTTATTTTTAGGAAGGTTAATTATGACCTGGCTGACTTTGGGAGTAAAACTCTTAGGAATTCAAAATTCCCATTTCGCAAATTTCATGATGTTCCACTTATTTTGTAAGTAGACGGTCAATTTTTGAACAAAAGTGGACTAACCTAAAAGGAAATTCGGGGCTAAATCTAAAAAAAGGGTTCAAAAGTTGAGGAAAGTTACGTTACAGTGGAGAATATTCAGGTTTTAAGTAATGAAACGTATTTTTCTTAAATGAACTCTTAAAAATTGTAACTTTTGAAAGGATTAAGATAAAACCATAAGGATTACGGCATACTGATCCACTTTAGAAGAACTGTCACCGAATTGTTTTTTTTAACATGACGATCTGATCATCCTGTATCGCTTTGCCAAAAACGTGAATGAAAATATGCATTTTAAATGTTGAAAGAAATTTAGTTTGTTTATGTTTTTGTTGGTTAAGACATTGTTTTTTGTTTGTCACCGGTACATAATCACGACGCTGTGCGAGCCTGAGGTGTGCTATTGTCCGCACGCGGTGGTTGCAGCCGTTTTTTGGGTCGGATATTTCAATTCCGCCCTCAACCCGATCATCTACGCCTATTTCAACCGCGAGTTCCGGGCTGCTTTCAAGAAGACTCTCGAATCCTGCTGCAAGACGCTCGTTTTGTGGAGGCGGTCGGGCGGAGGATTGGACCGCGACTCAGGACTCGCCGCCCCCGGCTACGGGGGCCAGCGTCCCAACCAGATCGCCGCCTCCAACGTCTCGTCCCAAGCTGAGATACACGTGATTAACTCATCCATCGCCAGGGCGTCGACGACCGAGGAGATCGCCAACATAAACCACAATCCCGACGCAACCGAGGACGTCATCTAGAAGATGTCGACAGATTCAAAACAGTACAAAATTCTCGACAGGAAGTCGAACTCTTCTCTCTTCTTCCGTTGGTCTAGTTTACAGTAATAACCACTGTTTACTAATTAACGCCCAAACACGGCAACAAAAACAATCGAAACAAATCGATATTTCACGAACGAATCAATAGATTAGGTCAAATGGATTCAGTTATACGTAAAAATATACGTTGTTAAATTGTTTCCTAAACAAATCAATAAAACACATTTATTGAATCAATCGAAGAACTTCGAAAAACAAATCTACTGAAGAATTGTGTAAATTAATAATTTCAATAGATTCTTGAGGTGCCCCTCACATTATTTTGTTTTTAAACCATCCCAAATGCAAAGTTTTTACAGACTTTTTCCTAATAAAAAAAACTTTTTCATAAACAACCAATTCTATCGGTTAAAGAAAACAATTTAATAATCAATTTAGTATAGGTTTATACAAGCAGATCGATTGACATTCAACTAAAACTTTTCTAGCATTAAAAACCATAGCATTCGACGCCTTTTGTTATTGTTTGATATATTCCAATGCTGGTTTTTATGTTGTAAAACCACCCTATATTAAATTTGGGGTTGTTTTTCATTCTAGTCAATCTCACGTTTAACGCGGATCTCTCGGTTTTGAACCAGAGACCGTGAATATAATAAAAAAAGGGGAAAACAATCAAGCGCTACTTGGTTTTAGATTGAGACACGGTGGTAGAGCAAAATATGTTTTCCTTTATAAAATGCCAACGATAGTTGTACAAAAGTTTCCTTTTGGAAGCATCGTAATACTCGACGATAAATTTTTGTAATAAAGATCCAGAAAACCTATTTTGTATAAAAACAAGCCAGACCTTGTGGCGGAAATAAAAATAAAAAAAGTATCTTCCAATAAACTTTATGCACAAAATCCTCAGAAATTGTTAAACCGAGTAGGCAAACTTTCGACACAAACCAGTGTATTAATTATAAACCCAAATGTGATAACCTTGTTTTATATCTCTAGTCAAATCTTTTTTTATAACTATAAAAGTAAAGTCATAAAAAAAATAAAACTATATTTTATAAGGGATCTTAGTATGAATGTTTAGATTTCACAGTTAATAAGAGAGATATTTACAGAACAATATGCGATTTCATAAGGTTGAAAAAAAGGTTCGTGTGATGATCTTTGTAATAAAAAATAATATCAATATGTATATGTGTTTAAAGGTTTTTCCCTATAATGTCAATCACAAAGTAGAATTAGCAGAACAGGGTCTATACAAATCGTACAATCCAAAAAAAATTAAGCAAATTGTGTATATTTGTAAGGAATTTGTAAAGCAGGAAGTTACCAAATATTAGTTCGGTTTTATTGTTAGTTAGTTTTAGGTGCTTGGAATTCTTTTTTTTCGAAGTTAAGAAATGAAATAAAGGAATGAACGTATTAAAAGTGATGAATGACTTTAATGGATAGCTATAAACTAAGACTTTGTGGATCCTAAGCAATTCAAAATACACACAAACTGGCAGATTATTTTTTTTAAACGTAATTTTAATAATTTAAAGCAATAAATATAAAACAGTATTGTAGAGTTCATATATTTTTGTTTATATTTTACCTTATTGTTAGGCATCGTTTCAAATTTGGTTGTCCAAATTTCGTATATTTAATAAAAGTGAGCGTGGGAGGGAACAAATTAGATTTTTAAGCTCGACTCCACCCTTGCATGTGACTTGGATAAAAACATTGTTTAAACAATGAAACATTGTACATGTCTATCTTTATTTTTAATGTCTATAAATTTTAGATAATTAGGATAACCCCAAAATGAAAATTGTTTTGTTTGAACCTTTTTTAGATTTTATAAAAAAAAGAGAACATAAATTAAAAACGGGTACAAATGTCTTTAATACAATCTTTTTCCGGCCGGAAGGTATATAAATGTATACAATTAACAAATATCTTATTGTGTAATGTACAATCAATGTTATACTTTCTTAAAGATTATATGTGATTTTGTCTGATCGTACCAGACGAATAAAATGTTGTTTGGCAACTGTTTTTGTTTTCAATCTGTTGTTTTTGTCTACCCTGGAATTTTTATTTTAAAAAATAATGTTTTGGAGATACTTCATTTTTTTTAAACATGTCTTCATTAGAAAATTACTGAAAAATCGTAAATTTTAACCGAGTGATTGGCTCTCTTATTCGGAAACAGGTATGTTGGATACAACGAGGAAAGTAACGTTTTTCCTCCTCATTAGAGCCTCTTTCGCCAACCCTCTCCCCCAAAAAAACGCAATTAACGTCTATCCGTTTGTTCACCAACACTTTTACCCCTTTTTTATCGATCCCGCCCCAAACGACGGCGATCAATCCGCTTTTGGTTCTCAGTTCACCTGTTTTTCACCTCCTTGTTTTTTTTTAACAACTTTATTTTTCTATATAATCACGAAGGAGGGTGAAAAATCTGCTCTTTGTTAAAGAAAGTAGGCGCAATTCTGAACTTTTAACTTGAAGTGAATAAGCACTTCAGAAATTTCATTTGCCTCGCAATGTGATTGCATCTCCAAAGATAAAGGATAAGACTCGAGTTTTTCTAGAGGGTGTTCTTTTTACATGGCATAGCTGAATTTCCCCTGAACCAATGACACTATCAAAAAACAAAAAATACGTGTTTAATATTTTTTAGCCTAGTTTCAAATTTTTACGTTTTTTGGAGAAAAATTATACAGGGAACCTCAGCCCCATTCAAAATTTTACGACCATATACCACCTGACACATCATTTTAAAGGATTTTTTACACTGAAAGCAATGGTACAATCGGATTGTAAATTGGTCATAAAATGACAAAATTATGGCAATAAAAAACCGGGAGCGCAATTTCGACGAGGAGCGGAATATTTTACTGTATTTCAATTAATTAATCTTTATGTAAGGTATTGGTTGAGATAAAAAGTCAGTGTCACGAGCGGGATTCGAACCCACGACCTTCGGCTAAATACGCCGCTGCTCTACCACTTGAGCTATCGTGACTTCGATCCACTCAGACACTAACTTTCCATCTCAACCCCACCTTTTTGAATTTTCCCTCCTTTTTCACGGACAGCTTTCGTGAAGCTATACTTCGATTTACTTATTAAATCCATTACATTTCGTGGTTCGACCAAATAACTTCTTTCAATTAATTAGTAGAAGTTAGCGGAGTAGGGTGAAGTCACGGTAGCTCAAGTGATAGAACAGCGGCGTATTTAGCCGAAGGTCGTGGGTTCGAATCCCGCTCGTGACACTGACTTTTTTATCTCAACCAATATCATACATAAAGATTAATTAATTGCAAGAGGTTATTTGGTCACTCGGACCACGAAATCTAATGGATTTTACTGTATGTTCGTGAAAATCCGAATTCCTCTCTCCGAAATGTTAGTAGGGTTTTAGGTTTTTCAAAAAATAAAATTAAAGAAGTACTCTAGATTTACAATTTTAAGGCGTATCGCTCTCATCTTGTCCAGGGACTTCAGGACTCTCATTATGACAAACGTTTAATGTTCCTTGCATAAATGTCGATTTGGGAGGCTGAAGAAAACGTATTTCCATACGTATGGACTGATGAATCCAAGTTCACCTCTAACGGCGTACTAAACCGTTGGAATTTTCGAACGTGGGTAGAGGAAAATCCTAGAATTTCGTGCTCTTGTCATCATCAGGTGGTTCACAGTATCAACGTTTGGTGTGGACTTTTCGGAAATAAATTAACTGGGCCTGATTTCTACGAAAATAATTTACATGGTGCTCAGTTCCTCAATATTTTGATGGAGGTTTTACCAACATTATTAGATGATGTTCTTCTGCAACAACGGCATAGCATGATTCTCCAGCTTGATGTTGGTTCTTTGCAGGTGAGACGGTATTTGAATCGTCACTTTTGGGATATGTGGATAGGATGGATCTCATGGACTATCTGTTGGACTCCTCGGTCACCCGATTTAAATCCACTTGTCTATTTTCTGTGTGGTCATTTAAAAAACAGTGCGTACGCCAAACATAACCCAGCAATCTCAGTTGAAGAACTGCGGCAAAGGATAGAAAATCCTGTCAAACCATCTCCCCTGACCCTGATTTGAGCACCGATGAGGGGGGGTTAAAACGAGTAAATCTTTGCATCTTTACGCAAGGCAGATAGTTTGAACATTAAATGTGATTAATAAATAGCAAACCAAAATTTTTGCCATAACTTTGTCATTTTTTAGCAAATTAAAATCCGATTGATCCATTGTTTGTAAAAATCCTTTAAATTGATGTATCAAGTTGTATAGGGTCGTATTTCATATTTTGAAGTTGAATTAGGCCTGAGATACACTGTATACTTTTTCTCTGAAACTAAACAAAAAAATATTAAACACTTTTTTTATAGCTCCATTTTTTCAAGAGAAATTCAGCTGGGCCATCTAAAAAGGACACCCTGTATAGTTGATTTGATGTTGTTCATTTCAGTATATTAAGTACAGCCTGCATACATAGTAAAAAAGTTCAAGTAAAGAAAATATGGTACTGATAGTTAAGGATTTTTCTAAGATGTTACAATTTGAGAGAGTTTGGATGGATCTGCCGATTTGTTTGGTTCAAACAGCTCATTTTTCAAGATTTGACAATAATTCCGATTGAATCCCTCCGAGGCGGTGAGAAAGCAATTTACAAATCGTTATCCAAATCTTCTCCGTCAATTAGAGCACCCGCAACTCGCGTTCAACTCGACAGTTCCTAACGATCAGGCAAGGAGCCCCTTCGTCCCATAATGAGTTCGCGAGTTATCTCAGAGAACTGGAAACGTTGTAATTGCTATTTGGGGGAATTCGGCAAAGAGGCCTGTTTCACATCAATCGGAGGCTTTCGGAATAAAATAACAAGCAAATACGAGAGAAAGCATACGCCTTTTTGAATAGCTATAACGAAAGAGTCCCATAAACATACGTCAATACTTTAGGAGGTTATTCTACATGCCAAAATGGAGTAACCAGTCCTTATTGTCCAAAGTTTGATTCCCAATTGTATTCGAGATATTTATCTTCAGGTTACTTCAATTGTTCACAACTCCATTCTACAAAGTTTATCTCCTAAAATATTAATTATACTGTAAATTTGATTACAGCAATAGAAAAAGCATTAAAAACCCTATGAGATTATTATTTCTTAATATAATCATCTGAGGGCCGTGGTAGCCGAGTAGTTAGCGTGTTAAATTCTTGAATCTTCGACGCCTCAGGCATTTTCGTTCAAGCCCTTCTTCCAAAAATATGTAATATACTACAAACATACTGTGCTCTAGCTAAATATGTGAATCATACATCCCTTAAATAAAAAAATTAAAATTTGGACACTTAAAGCAAACAAAATACAAAATTTCTTACAAGATCAAGTTTTAGGAATTAAGAAATTGTTTTGTCTAATTAATCTTTATGTAAGGTATTGGTTGAAATAAAAAATCTAGTATCACGAGCGGGATTCGAACCCACGACCTTCGGTAAATACGCCGCTGCTCTACCACGAGCTATCGTGGCTTCGATCCACTCGGACACCAACTTCCCATCTCAATCCAACCTTTCGAATTTTCCCTCCTTTTGGCCAGCCCACGAAATATAATGGGTTTGGTGTAATGTTTAAGTAAGATTTTCTTGCGTCCTATAAATATATATGGCGCTTGCAAAATCGTTGCAATGTTACAAATGTTCTTAATGTCTTAAAAGTCACATCACCAATGTGATTTTTTTAAGTTTTATTTGTACCCTGTACAACATCCACATCTTACAAATTTCTTCTCTCTCTTTATTTTCACCCGGTCACATCACTGGCACTACTTTCAACACTGCTCTCCGGAGGACACATGTTTTGGGAGAGCAGGCTTTCATTGACATTTTTGCAGTGTTTCTCATTTTCGTTCATCAGTTGTGCCATTGATTTTCCTTGCTTTTCCCTTTACCCG